GGTGTCGCGCACGAGAATTTCAGCCCGACAAACATTCGCCTGTATTCTGACAAGAATCGATAGGTGGTTAAAGTAATCAACCTGGACCTTTTGGGCGGTGAGGCATTGTGTTCTGGCACTCCCGGGTTCAGCGCTTCAGAAGTTGTAAGAGGAAGGAAGGCCGACGTATACTCCATTGGAATGATCTTTTATTATGTCATCACAGGTCCCTGTACCACATTCAAGTTATACGACTCGCCTGAGGAACAAGTGCGATATATGTGTAACGTGATTCTTTCTCACTTGAGCGACGTTGACTCGAAGTTTAGCAAGTTCATCAAAGTACTTTGCGGGACGCTTGCGTATGCGGCAGAGGATTGGTGGACAGCGTAGAAGGTCATCAATTATTTGATGGTCAATTACCCTAGGTACTCCTTGCAGGATGTTGAGTCTGACCCGAACCACCGCCGAAAGCGAATCGCAAGCCCGACGGCCTTCCCTGAGAACAAGAAGCGCAGGACGAACGACAGCGAATATACTCTAACTATTCGCGGCCCGCCCCCGCTCGCAGAATCCGAATATCCACCATCCTCGACGTCATTTGCGACCGCTCCGGCTCAGTCCCAGGGTGATGTTACGTCTGTCCCAGCTACACCCTTTTCTGTAGCCGACGTCGACCCGCCGTCCGACCCGCCGTCTATCCCGGCTACACCCTTTTCTGGGTCTAACGATGAAAATTGGCGTTTCGATGTCTTCACAGGAGGCTGGTCCGAGCGATTAAGGTTTCTCCAGGCCAGAGGTTGGTAAATCGGCGCAATGGACCTCGCAGAGATGTACTTGTTATTTTTCATCCCTGGTTATCATTCATTACCGGAATCGATACCTAGATACATTCATGGGATGGGTGGATGGACCTAGAGGCTTGCAGCAGTCACAGTTTACAGAACGGTCGAGCGGGCCTCTTGAGGCAAGATGGCATGCAAGTGGCATGCACATGACTTAAGAGAGCGGCTCTCAAAAGGGGCAAGAGAAAAGAGTGCCGGAGGACCATTCAAGCACTGGACAAGCTTGTCCTGTCATTTTATAGATGGTATAACCCTACGGAAGAAAGAGCTAAGAAATGTGCGTTATATACTAGACCCATTTGCTGATGCCCGGGTGTGACTTGCTGAGACCATGTCTGACAATATTCTTGAACAATGTGTGCTGGCCATCGCACAAGTGCCATTCACGGATTTTCATCCCTACCTCGACTTGTAGAAAATGTTGGAAATCAAACGTCTCTACACCCAGAATCCTGTGTATGTTGACATTCCATGGGAACACATGCATCATAAAAACTCTTTCCTGAGGAGGGTGACCCTGATATACTTGTCTGGGTATCTCACTCCCAGCCAAGAAGTCATTTACCATGCTGGGTTCCAATTCCCAAGCGGACCGAATTGGACACAGTATGCTTTTGGAATGGAGGCTGAAGAAAATACAAGATGTCCAATCAAAACCAACATCCACTGTCCACAACGAAGCAACTGTGAAGAATTAGTTTTAATGGCATGAATATTATATTTAGTGCCCAACGTACTTTGCTCAATGTTAGCATAGCGAGGAATCGCTGGGAAATGCAACGGCGAATAATCCGGTGCGGGGATGGTACTGCAAGGAGAGCTTGGTGCAGAAGTTGAGCCGTCTTCAAGAAGAGGTCGAGGTGACGGCAAATCGGAGTGCGAGGAGTCACGTTCAGTATCACGTGAAGAGGTCAGAAGCCAAGACGTTCCAGTATCGGTTGGACGCCAAGGAGTTGGCTGCTCGTGAGGGTAAGGAGATGCCGTCATATTGGAACGCGAGTCTTCCCCGATGCTTTCAGAATCAGGATATGCAGGTGGAGAGGATGGACGCCAAATAGTTGTGTTGTGAAGGTAAGGTGGCGGGTGAATGTAAGGAGATGCCGCCATATTACCAGTTGGAGGCGGAGGAGGTCTGAGGAATCGCGTGAATGAAGCCATAGTGAATTGGAGATAGATAATGCAGCGCGGAAATAATAGAGTAGGTCGAGCAGTGGTGTTGATTTTGCCGGTCTCAGTCCCTGGTGCCACCTATTTAAAACCCTGGTTCAAATGTTGGCTGAGGACGAAGCTGTGCCAGTACCCACTTTTCTAAGCGCCAGAAAAGGCCTCAGTCTAAAAGCTGGCTATCAAGCTCCACTCCACCATGGCATGGAGCGTTGCAGATTAAAAGTTGGCCGACGGCCCACTTGTACTTCGCTCGGGATGTGCCATGAGACCTCTTACGGGGCGGAGAGACGGGGAACCGGGGACATCGATGCTTAGTTGGCTGAGGAAGCGGAGCAGTCTCCACTCTTCTGCTTGCCAGAAAAGCCCTATAATGAAACACACATGTGGCATGCATGCACTACAAGGGGTGCAGCACACAGCCCACTTCCAGTTGGTGGTTCCAATTTCTGGCTGCCACACATGCCCAGCCACTTTTAAATGACCTCACATCCCCGAGTCAGGTTAAGCGGGCCAACTTTATGCAGCAAAAATTGAGCAAGTTCCAATTGGTGGTTCATTCTTGGTTCCACGTCAGCCAACTTTTGAATGGCCTCAGATCCTTGAGGCATAAGTGGGCTGATTTGATACCTCTGGGCATGGCGGAGTGGAGCTCTCGTAGCACAGCCAGGTTTGAATTCTGTCACACGACAAAAGCTGGCTGAGGATTTTTGCGCGTAAAAGACAAGGATGGCGTGGAGCGGTTCCATCCTCTTTCTGTCACGCGACAAAACCTGGCTGAGAATTTTGCCAGCAGAAAGGTTGGCCTGCATGTGCAGCCCCTGTGCGTGCGTGCGTGCGACCAGTTTGCGATAAGGATGCCTCCGTTCTCGTTCCGTCACAGCTGACACCAATATTCTCGGGCACTTCTTGTCTCCATGTGTCCGGGCCACTCTTCCCGCTCCTCAGCCGGGAACACTTATCAGGCGCCAGTTGGCACGCTCTCTCCTCGACGTCTCCTTCTCTGTTTCCATTCTTCTCAACTCAAAATTCACACAAGACAGTGTTCACAGGTTCTTCGCTCCCCTGCCTAGCGCCTGATGCCGTTCACTGATCTCTGAAATTTCCCTCTTTTCCCGCCCTTACCCAAAGAAATTGCTAGTCTGTGTTATTCTGCTGCCCAGAACGCAAACATGCATGGTCAAACAGGGCCGTTATTTTCTCTGCCGCCTGAGCTGCGTGCCATGGTCTGGAAGCACCTTCTTCCTGGAAAACGATTATTACGGGCGCAGGCGTGGTCTGGCCGTGACCGCTCTAAAGAAATCAGAGGCCGTAAAGGCAAGTGGTTCTTTAGAGTCTACGACTGGAATTTCGACAAAGATGGCACCATATTCTACTTGAAGGTTCCAGTTGTGCTGCAAATCTGCAGAGAATCTCGCAATATCGCACTCCAACACGGTTCCATCATTTTTGGCAACGATTATGATGCTGGAACTTGGTGGAACTCCGATCAAGACATCCTCGGTTTCGACAACGCATGGGATTTTGACACACATCCACAGGCGCTTGAAGGCCTACGTGGTCTTGATAAAGTTAAGCATGTTGCAGTCGACGAAAGTCAGGCCCGGTACTTTGGCTATCAGGCATGGTACAGTGGAACTGAGTCAACCGAGATTCCCCTCGAGCTTCGCACGCCAGTCGCCATTGTTTTCACCTTCCGAGAGTCTCGCAACTCGGGAAATTACATCCTGGAATTCTTCCCTGATTTCCAGCATTTCACTATTATTTTCTTAACGCTTTCGACCGGTGTTTCTCAAGGCTTAGCAGTACAGTGGATAGACGCTCCTGAAGACGAGAGGGCTGCATGCCAAGTTACCTTTCACCTAGGTAGCGACATTGACACAGCGGTAAAGCAGCTGAGAAAATATCGGGACTTGCGCACTAATACGGAGCATCGGGAGGATGCGAGCATCCTAAAAGGCTTTGACGTAGTCACTGGTCCATTCTACGCTGACAAAAATGGCTACGGTGACATAGGTCGGATACCTTACAGCACGATGAGTGCAGGATTTGGAATATGTTATGTCAGGGAGGAATTCCCAATCTAAAGTGGAAGGATAATTTAGTGCAAGATAACTACCTCCTATTTGTACGTAAACACAATGGATATCATTCACGTCAATTTTTATCATTTCTGAAAAACTCCACCGCGGAGAACGTGCCCGTTGTTAAATAGTCTGTCATGCTCTTAATGATCACCACCATAGCTGCGTCGTACTCCTCCGCTGCTCACCATTGTTCCACAAAATTTCCTGCTGCTTAGGGTGGGGAAAGGGTGACGGAGCGGGGGGGAGCTTCTCACCTGTGGGCACGAAGACGGAGACGTTGAACCGGAGTTGGTGGAAGTGGCGGTATCTCATCTTCATTCTAATCCTTGAGAGGTGGCGTCGCGACTAACACGGCGGCCACTCAAAAATTGGCTGGCAAGGCTGCATGAAAGTTGGCCCGCTTATGCTGGGGCTGGCAATGTGCCAGCCAGGAATGGAACTACCAATTGAAAGCTGGCTGAAATTTGCCGGCATGAAAGTTGGTTGCCCCTTATAGTGTGCATGCATGCAATTAGATGGTGGAGTGGGCCCTGTTGTTGGTCACCTGGGCATGCAACCAAAAGCTGGCTGAGAATTTTGCCCGCAGAGAAGTTGGCCTGCAGCCCCTGTGCGCTTGCACCCAGTTTGTGATGAGGATGGTACAACAGGTCACCGGGTCACAAAACCGGCCACAGCGAAAGTAACCCTTGCCTAGCCCTGGGCCTTAGGCCTGCGGCCGATAAGCACAGTACTCCTGTGGCGCTGCAGGGAATGGCCTTACAAAACGACCTATAAAATCAGGTGTTCCGATCAACGGAAGCAATGGCCAAGGCGCTATCCAGCCTTCCCTTTTCCGCGTTTCTTAGTCAGCATCAGCTCAGGTTACCTCTTAACCTAGGTAAGTACATGTATCCGGGCCGCTCTTCCCGCTCCTCAACTCTCCGCCATTTCCTCTTCCCTTCCTTAACTCGAACACCCCTCTTCAGTCAATCCTGTCGCACACGCAATACTCGAAACATTGCATTGCACACCCACGCATTGTACGCGGAAATCATTTGTTCAGTTGTGCCCATTACCAAGCTACAGGCCTGGCTTTCTAGCCCCTGGGTTTTGGGCAGGGCGTTGGGGGTCTCCACAGGCGCTGTCTCAGGAATCAGCCTACCAGGCGGATCATCTCAGGCCCTGTCTTTGGAATCACCTTGCTTGCTAGACTGAACACAATGGTTTCCGTTCTCGCGCTATTGCTGAGCGGGCACGATTGACTGCACCGAATTGTCCATTATCTTATACCCTTTGAATTGTCCCCAGCACGGAGTCAGGGCTACTCTCGATCAACTTGAAAAGCCCGGGTGGGTGGGAGTCCTGTTCATCCAGGGGGCTTTCTTCTCCGCCGCCACACTGCTTGAATCCTGTCGCTAACCCATGTCTAGGGACGAACGAGTGTTGGAAATGTCCGAACCAGTCCGCCGTGTCTCAGCAACGCGACGAGTCTTAATTGACGCGCCAGAGGCAGTGCGCAAGCAGCCTTCCAAGACTGACAAGCTTCGTCTCGTGTTCGACGACGAACTGAGCACCGCTTTTTTCAGGTTCCGCCTGCTCCTCATTCCCGCAATCGCGCAAGACTCGGCCGAATATGCCTATCTCCTCATCTCCCCTGAGCAGATCGCCTCTGTCTCCACGGAACAATGTACAGACCCCCAAATAGCCCGCCATCTCAGGTGCGCGCGTGGCACAACCCAAACGACCTCCCTGCGATTTGTGCTAGAGAAGCCCGCGTCGCTTGTCGGTCCTCGAGATTCCACAACATTTCTACACAAGGTGATGGACCGGGCTTCGGCCTATGCGCAATATCTCACAACTCAGACTACCCTGACGATTCATATTGCCGATGATGCGTTTCCCGCCTCACAATTGATATCGCTTTGCACGTTAGTATCTAAGGGTCGATTAAAGCCTGACAATTCGACTGCCGACATCACGACACTCTACGAGGGCAAGGGCGGGTGTGTCTTAAATTTGGATCAAACAAGCCCGCCCTCAAGACCCAATGAGGAAGTCAAGAATCCTCCACCCTATTCAAAACGCTGCCGTGACCTCTCAGAGGGTCTGCCACCTTCCAAAAAACCTCGCTTGGATCGGCCACCTGTGGGGGACATGTCAACTGCGGTGAATTCGCCACCTGTGGGGAACATATCAACTGCGGTGGATTTGCTCGCCCGAATGATATCTATTGTTGAAAGGACGAGGGCAGATCTTCGTCGTGTCGAACGGAAGATGGAGGTGATGGAGGATTGCATAAAACGCATGAAACCGGATATCATGGACGAGGTAGAAGCGCGTATAGAAGAGACAGCTGATGAACTCAGATATGAGTGGAGTTGCTCTATGGAAGACATGGTTACTGGCGTCAAGGGCGATCTGGAGGATCACTTGAAGAACGAATTGACGAACGAATTGCAGGATGCTCATGATCGTCTTGTAGATGATTTGCAAGTAGGATCATGGGCTATCACTCTGCAAAGGCCTTGATTCCATTTACCCTATCTACAAAAATATTTGTCGCTATTGCACGCGTCTTGGTTGATTTGCACGCATCAATGCAAACGTAGGCCTAAGTGAAGCCACCGGAGCCCAATCAACCCACAAATAACCCCTTCCAATTTCACCCGTCAGCGACGCCGCTGCACTCAGCACTGCTAGTGTGTTCATTGTATGGCTGATGCAAGGAGTCTGTTAGTTGTTGCGTGACCCCGAATTCCAGCAGGATCCGGCGCTTCCGGGCCACTAAGTTTCCACTCGGCTCGTGTCCAAGCTCCTCGAGAATGCGGTTGGCATTGTTCACTAGCCATCATGTCAGCCTCAGCTTGTGACGCGTTTATAAATCACGTTTATAAATCAGATGCATACGGTTAAGACTCTGGATGCCTTGCACTGTATTAGGGAGATTAGGAATCAGCCCGTTTGTCTGCATGTTGTGTAGGCCCTCGAGGTATTCCGGTGTTGGTAGCCTGTTGTTGGCTATCCGCGAGAGTGAGTTGTGATGCCTTAATTAGGCACTTGTTGGCAGGAGAAGGAGTACCACATACTCTGCCAAAACCTGTTTTCAAGCTGGTCCAACTTGTTGCTCAGCCCGTCGACGCGGTGATTTAATGTGACAAGTTGTTGAAGGATGTCATTATTTTGTTGTATGATATTGTGAAGAAGCTGGCCCTCCTGCATATCAGGGACAATTGCGAAGCGCTGGAGCTGGTCCCCCAGGGCGTTAAAGTGTTGCCTTATGGCATGGAAGTCGGGCAGCTGCGGGGCTGCCATTTTGACAGCAAAAAGTGGCCGTGTGATGAAGAGAAGGATTGGAAGATCTAATGATTGCCGCGTGCACTGCGTTTATAAGATATGTAAACAATGCAGGATGATGTGGAGGCCGTGTTGACGAATTAAAGTTGAAAGTCTTGCTCTCGTTGCTACAGCAATGACGGCAGTCCGCCCACGACGGCCAACTGGCTTGGGTCCATCAAGCATGGCACCTCTGAGAACTTCGGGAGCTGCTGAAGAGATAGCAAAAATTGGTGCGATGGACGAGTGTGACACGTCCTCGTTGGGCGATCCTCTGCAATCGGCTTAAAAGCGACACCATTCATTCAACTCTATTTGTCAAGGAATAAGCCCAAGGCTATGTAGTCTCATAGCCGCCCGCTTTCTCTCCTCGGCAAACACAGAAGACCTATCCCCACCTTGCTTAACCATACTCACATCGGGCCCTCCCTTCCTCTTCCGATTTGCCGATATACTACCTAGTACAGCTCGTTGTTTGACAACCACGGCCCGCTCGAAATCAATCACCATTACCTGACCAGTCTCCTCATTCCACAGTATGTTGCGAGGTTCGAGGTCCTTGTGCAAGACTCCAAGGTTGTGGATCATTTGAGCTGATTGGTCAACCTCTTTGGTAATACGCGGTTTGGTTTTGGTCGTCAGGCATTGGGAGATCCGTCTGCCGCCAAAACTAAGAAACATCATGTGTACAAGCTCACAAATCCCCTCGTAGTAATACGGGGTTGCCAGGTCTATGCTGCCCAGATAAACTGGCACATGAATGCCTTGGATCGGATGGAGGACGTTATAAACGGCAGCCTCATGTTGGAGACGATGGACAAAGTCAACAGGAGTGCACTTGGCTGCTACCGTGTATCCGTGCGATTTCAGCCGGACTTGGAACAAGACGCCGCAAGCGCCAGGCAGACTGACAGGCTTGCAGTCGGTATCCAAGTCGTTCGAGAGCTGCTGGCGTATGTAAACAAGGAAGGTAGGCCGGTCGATCTGATGATGGCTTTGCCCATGATCTCGAACATTCGGACAAGACATGTCAAGCGGACCACCGTTCACTAGCCCCAGGAGGCAGTTTTGCGTGCAATACTGTCCACTCTGTGCTCCGCGCGAACTCTGGCTAGGCGAGGAGCTGCTGCCGGTGGCCTGTATGCGGGACAAGCCCTGGGGTGAGGGTCGCCGTCGGCTCGGAGTATCAGTGTCGGGTTCTTCGTCGCTGGCGGCGTGCTGGTCCTCTGGCTGTGCGCAGCTTGGGGAGCTGATGGAGGCATCCCTTCGGCGGAGTTGGACGGGTGACATGCGAAGAAACGCGTCGTACCGAGGCGGGCGGTACTCTGATGACGGCGTGTCCTCTTCGGGGATAGCATCTCGTAGGTCTTCATACACAACCTCGCAGCTGTTGAGCCGAGAGGCAGCTTCGACACGCCACTGATGACTGCGGGGGGGTGTTTTCAACGCCTGCAGGGTGAAAGCCAGCACCTGCCCAACCGCTGTTAGATGCAGGCGATTCGGTCCATCCGAGTCGGGCGCCCACTCTCGGCCGACGTCCCCTTTGGGGACAGACAAGAAGTAATAGACTGTCCTGGGGTCATCGGGAACCCGTAGGAAGATGAATGCTTCGCCGGTGCACACGCAAGCGTATTCCACCCCAAGCTTGACCATATAAGAGAATGCTTGTGTGATGACGCCAGCTACTAGCCGTCGACAGCGGTCGCGCGTAGTATCTCTTTCGCACCTGATCACTTCGTCCAGCTCCATATCCTCCAAACCCTCGTAGATGCACCCTAGCGGCAGCTTATGCGGAGGCTTGTATTCGGTGATATAGGCCGCGGTGCGCGCCTCTTTGTTGTGAATGCTACTGTTGTAGACACAAAACTGATCGGCTCGAGGCCGGGACGATCGTGCTGCGCGGGGGCGTGGTGCGGCCACTGTTTCTGGGCGGTCCCGGGCCTGTAGGCGTGGTGACCGCCGTCGCGGAGCCCCGGAGACGGTCATGGATCGGATGCCGTCCTCTAGTTCTGCTTCCGGGTTAAGGGTGTTGGCATGGTTCTCAAACTGTACTGATCCTTTGAGCCGAAATGTCCGTCGGAGTGTTCGTTGATAGTATAACTGTTCGATAATAGACGTGACAGGGTCGTCTACGGTGGAGCGCTGGAAGATATGGAGATCTAGTTCAGAGCTCATCTTGCGCGGGACCCCTGCCCCAGATTCTTCCAACGTATGCAGCGATGTGAAGTGTCGCTCTGAGGCGAAGCCAGACGCCATAAGCATCTCCCAGGTCGCTGCCTGCTGTGCCGGGAAGTCCTCCCACTGAACGAGCTTGTCGGGTCGAAGGTTGTTGGTCGCATTCACAGGGTCGCCCTGCGTCGACAAGGTTTTGTCAGTCTGCACGGTGAGAGCGGAGTGTAGATGGGTGTGGCACGCGGCAAGGAATTCCGGAAGAGTCGTCTTGCGCGTTTTCTCCTCGGCGGCTTCGCGCCTACGTTGTTCTTCGAGAAACAGCTTTTTGTAATCGGGCGACTGTTCAAGCGTGGCGATATAATACGATGTCTCGGTCGTTTTATATTATAGTAGCTGCGGAAACACTTCAAAAGGGATGTATAAACGCCTTAGGCTAGATGCTGGTAAATATGCAAGTTGTGGGATACTAACCTTATTTATTTGTATGTGTTCTGGAGCTTGGTCTAGGCATTGTGTACTTGCCCGGACGACTGTTACCCCGACAACAATATCCCAGCGAGCCCCCCTTGATACGGCGGGGTCAGGGTCAGGTACGGGACGGCTAACCTCCGGCAGACACCTCGCCTCATCTTCGCAATTTGACACCCCAACATCAGACGGCGACCTAGGTGTATTGTTTGAAGGCCCCAATGCCGGAAACAAATGCATGGGGATTGTCCTTCTTCTGCATACGGCATATGTGGTCCAACTGCGAACTCGTTTTTCAGTTCGCCGACCCAAGCACACGGCCAAACCGGCCCCGACTCGGGGGCACACCAGGTGTCTCGAGCACTCAAGATAGTTAGCGCGCGTGTGTCACGCCGCCGCAATACCGGTTCCTCCAGAACCTCGAACTCGACCAGCAGACCGCTGCGTACATAATATTCCACGGTCAATTTATGGATGTGTGCCACTCGACATACAGTCAAAGGCGAAATGGGTGTCGCTGAAACAGCCCACAGGCCTCCGGTCGTGATAGGCGGCTCACGCATCAACATTATAGGCAAGTCTGCCTGGGCTGAGATTGATCAAGGTATATCGCACAGAATCCGACCACGCTGCGATATTCAGCGATATTCGTGGGTATCCATTCCGTGCGGCGCAATACAGGGAGACAAGACGGAATAGGTATGGGACGAACGACGGGAGGGACTGGTCCCAGGCAGACTACCAGCCAGTCCAAGCTCTATTAGCGACTTATCCTTTGAGTACCCCGCCACTACAACCGCGATCTGCCAAGCCATCTAAGCCCGGGACCCACACCACCACTACTAAAAATGTTAACTAAAGATTTCGGCGACACTCATTTCGCCTTTTACTGTACTCTTCTCAGAATTGATCTTGTTCCTTGTAGGCCCTTTCGGAGGGGCACGCGGAGGAGCTCTAGCGTTGAGGGGCTGTGAGGCAGGGTAGTGTAGAGGGGAGGTACGAGAATTTATAGTAGGCTGCACGCTTAATTCCTTGTATTGGGTGGGCGGAAGGTGGGCCGGACCTTCCCCTGCCTAGGCGTCCTTAGGACGTACTAGTAAATACCTAGGTACACCAGGAGCAAGATACCTACCTAGGTAGGTACTTCATCTAGATGTACCCATCACAGACGCTCCTCTAGGAGAAAGCCCCGAGGATCCTGTCACGGAACTCATCCACGGTCCTGTCGACCGCCTCCTCGATTGCCTCCATCATAGCCTCCTCCCTAACGTAGGCACCCTCGTCCAGGATATCGTCCACCTGGTCGGCCGTGACATAGCCCTGGTCCAAGACCTGGCGGCGCAGCTGTCGGAGCCTGGCGCTGACGTAGGTCTGGACACGGTCAGAGATGTTGGAGGCGACAGACGCTGTGGAGGATGATCCGTGGGCCGATGGAGGTGGAGGCGGTGTCGTCGCCGTCGCCGACCCCGCCGCTGGGGTCGAGCCGCCATTTCTGCTTGGGCCTGCTGGCGTAATGCTTCTACCGCCGCCGCGCCGCTTTCATTATTGGCAACATTAACCAGCATCCTGAGGTTGGAAGTGGCCCTGTTTGCCTCTACTATAAGTTGGTCTAGGGCTCTTTCTTTGTTGTCTGCGCGTCTAAGCAGTTCTGCCATTATCTTCTCTCTCTCACCAACGGCCAGGTTGAAATGAGCCCATGTGCGGTATTTAGGGGTACTCGAGCCCGATCCCGGGCCGGGGCTCGTAGACGAACGCGAACGCGACTGCGACGACGACTGAGACCGGACTCTTTTGTTCTTCCCTCTTGTTGGTCTTGTCACGTGGGCTTCCTTTGGTGTGGGCAAGGCCAGAGGGGCAGGTGCCGGGGATGCAACAGCCTGCCCATATTCAGGAGGCGGACGGTCCGAAGACGCGGCGGCGGCGGCGGCGAGGTTGTTGTTATTGGGCCGGCGTCAAGCGGGCGAGTCAAGGCCAGCTCTCCGGCGATATCAACGATGCGGCCGCCCGTACCGCTATACAGCGTGCGCAAGCCGACCAGGCCGGGCTCTGGGCGCATGGGATTCGCAAAGAGCGTCTGGGTTGAGATGGTCTCGCAGCAAGCGTCGAGCGGCAGGGCTTCGGCGTCAGCGGCGGGGATAAGCACGCAAATTACGGCAGCGTGGCGGGCAATATGCGGCAGCGAGCCCAAGGCGGCCTGGGCCTCGGGCGTGGCTGGATGCAGCTGCCCCGGCGGCACTGACTGGGGCGCGACGAGCCTGATGGAGCCGGGCGTGTGGAAGCGGAAGCAGAGACACCGATAAAAAGAAAAAGTCTTATTAAATTGTATTAATTATTAAGCAGAGTGCACAGGTCTTTTTTAAAAAAAATTTCAGTGGAGATTTTTTTACTATGGGCCGTTTTCCATGTTACAGAGCCACTGTTCTATCAGCTGTGCGATGTTGGTCTTGCAGTCCTTTCGTCCTAATAATTTCACGGCTTCGGCGACTTTTTTGAAATCCTCCTCAATGCGTGCTGCGTCTCCGCATGAATCCAAAATACCCATAGATCGGCATTCTTCTGTATTGCTGTCTCGCTCGTCCGATAGCAGTAACGTGGGTGGCCCACATGGGCACCCCCCTGATCTGGGCACCCCCCACCCGCGTGACGCGGTGTACGCGTCAGGCAACCCCCCATAGAAAAACTTGAATAACTTGATGAGGGATTTTATTCTGATCACCAAACTTCTTATGCACATCAATTAGACCATTATAAAGCAATACTGAGAGCCTGAAGTTCACGACGCCCTTACTGCAATAGCAGATGGGATGCCAATCCAGCGAGCCTCCAGGCTCTGGCATATCCCACGGTCAACCCTTCAACGCCGCCTCCACGGTCTCCAAAGCCATCAAGAGGCAGCCGACCCTCAAAGGTACCTTTCTGACTATCAAGAGGGTCAATTGGTACTATTTATCATCAATCAACCCAGTCTGGGCCTTGGATTGACCCGGTATGAAACCCGGGCCCTCGCAGCCCGCCTCGCCTTCCCTGATGCGAATCGCCCTCCCCTGGGGAGGAAATGGCTCAGAGAGTTCTTCTCCCGGCACTCTGAACTTCGAAGCAGAAAGAATCAACTCGTCGAGGCCCGTAGGCTGAGGGTAACAACGAAGGCAAATATTGGGGCTTGGTTTGACCTCCTTCAATTGCCTATAGTCAAGTCTATTCTCCCTGGAAATCGCTGGAACGCTGACGAAGGAGGAGTGATGGAAGGGCGTTCAGAGAACGTTCTGGTCCTCGGCTATTCAAATAATAGTCCAATCAGCCAATTGGACTATAATTCGAGAGCGTGGACCTCCTACATTGAGTGTGTCAACGCTCTGGGGAGGCGATTGGACCCATTGATTATATTCAAGGGCAAGAACTTTCAACAGCAGTGGTTTCCTATAGTAGGACTTCGACAGCTAGCAATTCACTGCAACAAAAAAGGGGTGGGTGGAGGAGCGAATTGCTATTGAATGGTTGAAAAGAGTCTTCATTCCTCAGACGAAGCCCAGAGACGCCAAAGAGTGGCGATTATTAATTATCGATGGGCACCACAGCCACAAAACAATCGATTTCATGTGGGAATGCTTCTCGAATCGAATATATATACTCTTTTTGCCGGCGCATACCTCCCACGTCCTCCAGCCCCTCGATGTTGGGGTCTTTGCGCCGCTGAAAGCCTCCTTCAAGAAGTACTTGCACTATCTTGGGCAATTACAGAGGCGAATGTTCGCTCTGACTGGAGAGCGACGGGTCTTTGGCCCGTCTCCCGGGTGAGAGCCCTGGGTAGCCACAATGTCCTCGAAAACCACCCCAGCCAGCCGGAATCAGCCAAGTATAATAGTCAGAATAGCTTTATTGGATCGATTGGAACGCCTGAGTATATTTTTCGGCCTATGGGACTCAATTTCACGACTCCGAAGAGATCGCAAGAGATGCGCCGGCTTATAGCTGATTACGAGCATCAGAAACACTCGAGTCCCACGCAACGACAACTCCTCAAAATAATTCTCAAAGAATATTAACAGAAAAGGAAGGAATCAACAATGTACACACGAAAAAACGAGCAGCTAATGAGTCAAATTGAAGCCAGCAGGAAGCTCAAGAGAAAGAAGGTCACAATTGACCCAAACTCGGCTTTCGCCGATATCGAGGCGATACGTAAGGCGAAAATTGAAGCCGGAGAGGTATCACCTGATAGAGACGATTCTGAAGATTCGTCAATACCAGCAAGAGAGTGATCGGTTATCGTGGTGGCGAGCAATTGACGTTGACAATAGCCCTATTGCTGGCGAGGGGGGGTGCCCAGATCAGGGGGGTGCCCAAATGTGAGCCACCCACGTTACATCACCATCGACCTCCTTAGCTCGTAAGCGTGGGCTAATTCAAGTCCATATTTTTGGAAGGCGTGATGTTGTGATGGTGTCAGTTGTGAAGGTTTTGAGGACAAGACTGACATGGAGCATCCGCCTTCTGGATGGGGTCCACCCGAGCTTTATATACGTAGAACCTCTCATCGCTGGGTGCCTAAAGCGATCCTCCTTATGAGGCGGGCCCTTGTAGAGGGTGGCATCCCCCAATGTTTCATTGGCAGCGCCTTGGAAAGCGTTGTTGGCCGTGGACTTTGTTGTGAGCCAGCCATCCACTGACTACTCCAAATATAGGTCGAGAAGGGGGGGGGGGTTATGTGTAACTATACCAGGGCCCTCCTCGCCATCAGCTATATTACACTCAATTCTTCGGAGCCAACAACCACGGGGATGCCGTCGGGCAAGGCTGAAATGAAGGGGCTGATGCCAGAGTACTCCAGAGGCCAGGTCGGACTCAGACTCTTACAGTCCAAATTAGCTCAGAAAAGGACTGCACAGCGTCTTCACCACAGGAATGACAAGCTATTGGCTCAGGCTTTTAGTATGGATGCCCGGCGAATGTCTATAAAAGGGGTGACGCTTCCCTCTGCTGATTCCCCCCCGACCATTTTTTTTCGTCTTCTTACACAACCACCTTCAACTCACACGTCACCCCTTGCTACACCATGTCGACCTCACGATCTGCTAGGTTTAGCAGGTGCACTTTTCATTATGAAGTTCGATACCTATCTGTAGATGGGATGCCGTTCCACAAGCTGAAGCCATCGTGGAGGCTATCACCGGGCAGCTGCGAGTCTTCCTGGGGGAGGAAATGCAACAAACCAATACCTCCTCCCAATGGCACAGGCATCGCTGGTTTGAGCATTTTGAGGGATCACTCCCGCGGGAAATGTCCCTGTGCGCGGGTAGATTACGGAGGCTCAAATCACCGTTGGTGCTCTCAAGGCCTGCACCACCGCGGCGCACGATTGATGCGCAAGAGCAGTTTGGCGACTCCGGGACTGACAACCACGCTGTTGTTTCTTCTAAAGGGAAGGATACAGACACGTATTACGGACTTCTATAGTCCGGTGAAAGCAATAGGGCAGATGCGGTCCCTCTGAGCAGCGACGCAGCGACGGCAGCAAGGGGAGGGAGACAGTGAGCAGCGTGAGCAAAGGCGGATCTCAGGCCAGCTGCTTTTCTGAGTGGAAAGCGGCAGAGCCAGGAACGAAGCCCATGTATATAATTGCACATCAGACCCTATTTCTACGGATTTTAATGAGTACTTGAACTGTTTACGTAGGTACAGAAGTTAAAGATAGATTAAAAACGGGCTCTGTATCAGCAGAGACTAACATTGTCGATCTTATTTCATATTTGAACTAACATCTAATTATCTCAAATATACCTAAGGAGAAAACCAGCATCAATAAAAGCACAGTCTTTATATACATATATTAAGAATACTCACGACGGTTCAGTAACGGAACTAGACTATCAACGTCAGCTATGTCACTAACTTCGCCCCGGATAAATTCATACCTTCTTAGAATATCTGTAGACTCCTGTCTCAAAACTCACCTGAGGAACTCCAACCTGCAGAATGAGGTGATGCCTCAAGTTCAATAGGAATTTCCGCTTCACTTGTGAGTTGTTCAAGTGAGTGCTGGTGTCCGACTCCTAAGGGGGCCGCGGCCATCTCTTGGAGAATGGAGGGCCATCTCGCAGTACTCGAAACATCCTCTGCGTTTGCATTATCGTATGGGGCTTGGCTTTGCTGCTCCCAAGCAGATGAGGCATCGAAACCATAGCTTAGCTGGGAGCTATACGTTATCCCCTCTGCTGCAAGCGCGGGTATCCCTAACGGTGTCGAAAAGGGTATAGCATCGGCATAGGTGTGTTGTTCGTCTGTAATGTCCGTGAAAAGGGTGGTGTCCGGAGCAAATGCTTGAAGAAGGAGATCAGGAACGGTTTGCTGTGATTGCGGATATGCTTCGTAGTGTGGCAGGGCTTCCTGTATATCGTGATCCTCTGCAACGGTACTTTGGTCACCCGCCGGTACGACCCTTCTAGCCCAACGCAGACTCTGAGACCCAAAGCTTTCTCGATTCTTGTCAGCACTCATTAGGATCCATGTGTTCTGTGGTTCCCATCCATTCCGCTGGCACCAGCCCAGTGACCACTGTGGGATGCGCTGGGTGAAGGTTTCCAGATGAGGGCAGGGCGGGTCTGGGCTCGTGTCCGTCCCTACTACAGTAGCTTCGATTGGATCGCTGACATAGGGAGGAATTGGAGCAGTCATTCTATGTTCATGTCGAAGATAGACTCTGGCTCCACACCGAAAAAGCCACGCGCCAATCCTTTTGGGGCTGTCGACTATTCGACAGCCAACAGTGCATTGCTGTGAGTCTTCTGAAGCCATCTCGATTCTAAGTATGTAGGATTGGAGAACAGATGGAGTAACAAAAGCTGGCTGCCTTCGCCGCGGAATAGGGATCTTGGGATGTAAAGGAAACCGCGAACAGCAGCCTGTGAGTTCATTTGCGTATTTAGCACGAGTCTTGTACTCCTGCATTTGTCGGTTCCTCCACGCCGGCATGCGGCGCAGCAAGCTTCCTTCGTCAAACGCGAGATGCAAACAGCCCAAGCACCTTCCGAAGATACGTTTGGGTGGGGAGCAGGGACCAGTCGTGGTGTTTGCTTGAGGGAGGGTAGCAGGAGATTATCAGCTCCTCGGCAGGCATTTGGCATCCTCTGTTCCTGTGCTTTAATTCGTCAATGAGAGACCGTTGGTCTGACGGGGAATAACGGAATTCGGTCTGTTGCGTCTATGGAAGGGTGTCGATCACATTAAGGTAGCATCCAGCAACCAACCGCATTGTGCGAATAACACGTGAGCTATAGTTACAATGCCGCCGATGGTACGGAATTAGTTAGATTGCCGGGGATTTTACTCCAGTCCGTCGTACTCCGTACTCCTTTTATTCTAAGGCAGTTTAGTATTGAGAGGGCGAAAGTTCGTACGAGGCATTATAGAGCCTTAGTTGCTCGCCCTTTTCAAGTGCCGGCGGTAATCCTTGTGTCGCTTTTAATCTGATCACAGTGCCCTTTGAAAGTAAATGAAAAAAAAGAACCGGAGTCGGTCCCTTCATATAGTTATAAACGCCCAAAGGCCGGGTAGTGTTGGCGGTAATAATATGGTCAAACGGGCGAGACGCAGATGGGATTGGATGCCACAACGACCCGACACAATGGTTCAGTCGCTCATTGGTATGGCTGTTAAGGTTCTAGACCCCAACGCATTCACCCGGAAGCAACCAATCGCATGGAAGAAGATAGCTGTTGATTTTATTTCATCACCTCAACCACCTGAAATACGGGCTGATATCCTTGTAGCGGTTGGTAAGGGCTCGTGGGTGAAGCCCGCCCCTTTCAGGATCATCCTTCTCTTGCGTAAAGCGCGAAAAGGCTATAATCCTCTTGCGGTTACAACAGAAGTGATGTGTAGGCATGCACTAGCCTACCTTAAAGAATTAAACAAAAAGTAGCTACTCACTTAGTAGCTTATTAAAATTAGCGGATTTTATTAAAAATGCTATAGTAAATTTATATATAGTTTTAAATAAAATTTAAAGTAAAATAACTTTTTAAAAATTAATTTTAATATAATTAATATTAAAAATAGTAATTAAATAATTACTGTTTTAAGTATATATTGCAAACTGTTAAAAATTTAAACTAATTGTTTTTTATCCTACTAGGGCATTTATTATTTGTTTTTATTAAGAAATGAAATTAAAGAACATAATAATTTTATAATTAATATTAAATATAATTAAGGTTTTAAAATATTTCAATAAATTAATTTTTAAAAATATAATAATATAATATATTTTTATTTTTTTAGTATTATGTTAATATATAATAAGCTGGCTTTATAGCGGCTGCAAGAGAGTGTTTAAAAGGAGTTTGTATTTACGTTAAAAAAAGCTTATAGCCTTTTTTTACAGCTATACTAAAGCTCATTTTTATAAAGTTGGTGCTTGCTGATTAATTATATTACGTAATAATTTAGATTATTATGTAATATAATATTAATTAAATACTTATTATACTATAAAGATATATTTAATTTTTTATTTTTATAATTAAAGGTTTTATAAAGTATTTAATATATAATTTAATTATTTTAGTAGTTGAATTTTAAATTAATTCAAAAAGAAAATTTATAATATTTATATATTAATTAAATAAGTAAATAAAGTTTATAAAATCTGTTAAAAAATTAATAAATTAATCATAAAAGAATAAAAATATAAAATATAAAATATAAAATCTTTTATAAAAGGCTTTTAGGAATTAAGCTTAAATTTATAAAACTTAATAGCAAAATGGTAATTTTACGCAGGCTATTCGACGCCTTGGTCTTATAAAATTGTCTGAAAAAACTGTAGCAGCAAAGATTGTCAGAATTAAGATAAGGATAGCAATACAGAATAGCCGCATGCCGAGCGGAATCTCTGGCGTACTGATTATACGCTATACTCGTTGCCTAATATACCGTACCACACTACACATGCTGCGGGGATTATCGACCCCACCTTACATTACTGGTGGAAATAACGTAGTCGTATGACTCGACTGCCCACGCCTCACATGCACTCTAGGAAGAGCGCGAGGTGTGTTGCTGGAACAGCTAGATAACGCAGCCTATGTAATACCATGGGCATAGAACCTAAATTGAGACTCGTCCAAATTGGACGAGTCTCAGTTCGGTGGCGCGATTTCCTGACTAAGCTGGCTCCTCTCAGTCTGCCTTGCTTCTTATGCTATAGTACTATAAGTCCAACACTTGAGGTATTATAGGTATTTGTAGAGCTACGTTGCTAAATGGAATACTTCAATGCTAAAGCTGATGTCTAAAGGTTAGGGGAGGTAGGGTGCTCTAAGGCTTGGTAGAAGTGTTACGTACTTAGTAAGCAGCCAAGGTGCACTACTAGCACCTCTAGCCTGCTGCGGCTTGGTCCTCAACACACGATCTCTCCACAATCAATTAACTGGCTCCCGAACTCCAGATTCTGGTTGCTGTACGAGTGATTTAAAACCTTACAAGAAGTAGAATATAGGGAGTTACCTTCGTTTCACTTCCCATAACTATATAAGGAGACTTCCTGCCTACTTCTAGTATAATACTTCTCAAGTTTTCTCAAACAACCTTGATATTTGTCTTATACGCTATTCGGACCAAGTGAAACAGAACATTAAAATGTTACCTCCAAATGTGCTTATCTCGCTCGGTTCTGTTCTACCTCCAGCCTCAATAGTAAAGTTATTATATTTTATCGGATCTTTATGGGTTCTATATGGGCTCATTACAATTCTGTATAACATTTCTCGCCTTCATCCTCTCAGCAAATTCCCTGGTCCCAAGCTAGCAGCTGCCACTCTATACTACGAGGCTTGGTTTGACTTCATCAAAGTGGGGCGCTATACACGGAAAATTGGAGAGATGCATAACAAATATGGTACACTTTCACATTATTATACTCCTTTTAAGTCAGAGGCTAAATGATATTGAAAGGTCCCATTGTACGGATTAGCCCGTCAGAGTTACATTGCAATGATCCGTCGTTTATCCCCGAGATTTACGCAAGTGGGGGCCGCAAGCGGAATAAAGACCCACACACTTATCGATCTATGATCTCGCCTATCGACAAGACTGCGTTTGCTACAGAGGATCACGACCTTCACCGCATCCGGCGTGCGCCTATTGCTAAATACTTTTCTCGTCAATCTACGCTGCAACTCGAGGCAGTCGTTCTAAACCAGCTTGAACACTTCTGCAAAAAGCTACTAAGTTGCCAAAACGGAGCGGCCTTTGACATTACTACAGCTTACTCATGCTTTACTTCCGACGTCATTTCAACGTGTTGTTTCGGCGAACCTCTGGGTTTCCTGGCGCAAAGTGGCTGGGAGCCTAATTGGCGTCGCCCTACATACTCGTTTCTAGATACGATTTTTCTGCTTCGTTTTTTCCCGATTCTCCGTAGGTTGGTACGTTTTGGAAATTTTCTCGCACTCCATGGGTGGCTAGGATCAGATATCAAGATGGTCTTGCACACAATACATGTCCGCATCCCTACACTGGTTTCCAAAGCTCCTAGGAGCATCGCGTCGGGATCACAACAGACTCTTTATACACATATCCAGGACTCAAATGGCCTTCCAGAGAGCGAAAGATCGCCGTCACGTTTATCTGCAGAAAGCATGGCTCTTTTGAATGCCGGGACCGAAACGACGGCTTGGGCATTATCTGTCATCACGTTTTATCTGTTGTCACAACCCGAAATCCTGCATCGACTCACTCGAGAGCTCAATCAAACCAATCCTGAGCAGAAGACCTGGCAGGTTTTGGAAAAGTTGCCATATTTAAGTGGAGTGGTTATGGAAGGCCTGCGCTTGTCGTACGGTGTATCTGGGCGGACTCCCAGGATTGCGACACAGGAGGAGCTGGTTTTCAAAGGAAAGGCTATTCCGAAAGGATGGGCGATCGGGATGTCTTCCGCTGTGATGCATCACAACGAGGATATATTTCCAGATTCTGGCTCGTTCCTACCAGACCGCTGGATTGATAGCCGTGGGAACAAAAGATGCGACCTGGAAAAATACATACTGTCTTTTTCACGAGGCAGTCGGCAATGCCTAGGTATCCAGTAAGTAAGACAAACACATTTTACATAGTCGAAGTGCTAATAACCAAACAGTCTAGCGTATTGCGAGATCTACCTTGCAATCTCTCTTCTAACGCATAGGGTGTTTCCTCGGATGACTTTATTTAAGACTAGCCAGGAGGATGTTAGATATGATCATGACACGCTTATACCAAGGACGAATAAGGACAGTAAAGGTGTCAGGGTTACTATTTCAGAAGAAAATGCGTATGTAGCTTAAATGTTTTTGTGGCAGCGTACAGGAGGTTGTAATTGAGAGGTTGTGGTGTGGGAAGGGCCGCCCGGGGCCTCTGGGCCCAAATAGGCGATTTTAGCTCCGAACCAAAAGGTAGAATTCTTAGACAATTCAACACCCACGATCTCCTCGGACTCCTCAATTTGTACAAAGATTGTTCCTTGTCCCGTTAAGCTCCGCATGTAAACTATAAGGTCAAATAAAGAGGCAACTCACGTATAGTGTCACGAGAGGGAACAGAGATATAGCAGCTGTACTCAAATACGTTAATTTAAGTGGAGAGGGGCGCTACTTTAAAAGCAAGGGAGGGGCTCTGAAGGAGCCCTTTAGAGAGAGGAGGGTTTTTATAGTGGGGCTCTGCCGTGACTGCAACCAGTGCCTGCCTAAGGCAGGCACTGCTACCACCAACCTCTCAAATAAGTATTAATTAGTGCCATCTACTTATAATAACTCAAGGGTATAAAATATAAACACCTTTATTTACTTATAATATATATTATATTAAATATGTAGAATTTACTTCTTAATATAATTATATATTTAAAAATTAATTAATGAAGTATTTTAATTATTTATATATTTATATATTTTTAAAACTTTATTTAAAATTTATTTAAGTTTTTAATATTTTATTAATTATATATTAAATATTAAAAGTATTTAAAAAGTTATACAATTATAAAATACAAAAAAATAAATAATAATAAACCTCGATATAAATATAATTTTATTATTATTTTAAATATATTAAATTACTAATTATATATATATATATAATAAAAATATATATTATTTTATTACAAAAATAAAAAAATATTATATCTTTTTAATATTTTAGCTTTTTAATTATTTTTAAGATTTAATAGAAGTTTTTAAAAAGTATAAGTTTATATAAGTCGGAATCGATGTTACTACACTATATTCCCCGAAGAATTCAAAATAGGCAGTGGCGAGTTAAAAGACTTGTCACACAGTTCAATTTCTACTTAAAGTAGTCTTTAGAATTCAGGAGCCCCTTAATTATTTTCCTACATTTCTATCACTACTTATAAAAACACATCACTACTTAATACTTCAACATTCAATATAGCTGAAAAGTCTACCTAAAAGAGGACAGTTTACTCTTATTATAATAAAGGGAATCTTATTTCTATTATTAAAAACTTCAAATATCTTCAAAAATATAATATTAAGAATATTATTAGTATTACTAAAATTTCTATTAGCATAGCTAGCCCTTTATACATTACGGGGCTAAATAATATCAATACCCTTTTTATAAATACTCTAGCCGCACCTTTTACAACCTATAAGCCCACCCTTATTACCAACTACTTAAGGGGCTATAAAGCCTTTAATGTTTTTAGTAGGTTAAACTTTAAAATTCTTAAAAATGGGATATTTTAAGGTCCCATTTTCATTTTTAATTATCCTAAAAACATTATTGCTTTTACTTGTGCGATCCCCACATTCCAAGCTAGGTTTTTTAAGTAGGCTAAGTCAACTAGCCGGTTTATTTAATTTTAGTCCCTAAACCCTATAATCATTAAATCCCAAGTTCACCTACTCTACACATATTATTATAATAGCGCCGCTAAGCAAAACATAATTATAAAAGCTATATAATATGCTTATAATAAGCTCCATAAGAAATTGGAAATTAAATTTTTCATTTAAAATTTTTTAATTAAGGGCCAACTAGCATCTAATAAGAAGCCGTTATAGGGAAACATTAAAATATTAAAAGGTATTAAAGTCATTATTTGGGGGATAATTACCAATTAAACCTGCCAGTTAATTTTAAGGTATAGCATTAATTGCCTCTATTTTATATAACAAATTATAAAAGATGGTGGAATTTAAAATAAATAATTTGGCTCTAATATTAATATTACAAATATTTTGGCAGCCTTATTTATATTAACTAGGCAGAACATTAAAAGTATCGTTAAAGCCTTATAGAGTTACTTAACCTCTAAGTTAAATAATAAAATAAAAAATTTAAAGCTATCACTTTATTTCCCGTCCCTGCTAGTAGAAACCGTCAAAGGTGGTATAAAGTACCTAGCTTAGCGTAAGGCGCTTAGGCAACTTAAGTATAACACGCCAGGTATAAAGGTTCGCCTAGCAGGAATAATTACCTTATTTGCACTTATACTGGATTTAAGTACTAGTACCATCGTGGCAAATAATACTTTTACCTAGAGCTATATGCATTTGGCCTGGGGGGAGAAACTATAAGGGTGTTACTCGTGCCCCTTTATTGTCAAAGCAACTCTCATATCTATTGATGTAGATTCGAAGCTAGATAATCCTCACTTTCAAATCAAAGTCTAATTTCGAATGATTTTAAGAGACCGTGTCCCATTGCATGACAGCGGTTTTTAAAATCAATGAGATGGAGAGTAGCAGGTGATGACGAGAAAGATACTAGATTTTAAATCAAACTAGGGCTCAGAAGGGTAACAACCCAAATACTTCTCTTCGGCGTTACAAGGTTCCCAAACATCCCTCAGCATTTGATCCTCCAGCCTCCTAAGCCAGAGCCATTCTTATATGCTTTATTATATCCTGCATCAATTTGAAGTTATCTAGTATGCTTAATCGGGCTGCTAACTCCCCATATTGCTGCAAAGTATTTGAGATATGGATTAGCTCTAGAGAACAAATCCAAAAGATCTCATGAGAGAGAGATCAGAGTTGAACACTTGTTATACAAGTCCTGTTACTTAGAGATAGTAAGCATCACAAAGCAAGAAGTGATCTAAGGGCAGATATATATAATTTTCTCAGCCAGTTCTGTAAATGAAAACAAAAGTAGCGGTGATGTGCTGAGTAGGGCAGCCCAACGGTTAGCAACGCGTTTAGCAGCGGACGCATCGCTGAGGAACATATTAATAATGATAGTAGCATTCCCTTGACCACTTTTCCCATTTACCACCCCATCACGACGTCCATTTTCAATTATCTCATTGAGCGCAGCTATCACTCGCGTCAGTTGAAAATAAGCAAGTCTTGACTAGTAAAAGTTGTCCGGCTTTATGATGATGTCGCCCAAAGCTCTCACCGCGTCTCCCACGCGACTGTCTGTGTATGTAGCGTGGTACGGCAAAGACGTCTTTTGCATTAAAAAAATCCAAGTTCTGCATATTCCCTCGCAATTAACCGCAAAGTATTGCCTGCAATCGCTCCTGATTAGAGCTTGGGCGAGCGTGCTAATGCCTGCGGGGGATCTTGCTAGACGGCGTATATTGAGCTGTTGGTTTCCTTGGGCTTCTTTAGCCTGGAGAACAGCTTCGGATGACTGCATAGCATAAACCTTGTCCATATGCATAAAACATGCGCGAGACAGCAGATTCTCGACGCAGTCCCGGCGGCGTAAGAACCGTATAAATACAGCACAGATGATAAGTAAATAATCCAGCATTTAAGATCCCAGTGTTGCCTGGATATGGGTTTCTGGCAAGGAGGCTCCTACATTCGGGATCGTGGGATGGACATCCTTCGATCCGGGATTATGGGATGGGTATTGTCGGATCCGGGTTTCTGGCATATGGGTTTCGGGTTCCCCGCATTCACGGAATCAAATTTGCACCAGCAGTCATTGACCTGCTGGTTATGACTCGGAGGTGGGATGCCGGGATCTAGGCTACTGGCATGACGGCTCGTAAAGCCGGGATTCTGGGATGGGAATGCTAGGACCTAGTTTCGTGGCACCAGGTTCCCGGATCCGAGATCCTGGGATGAGGATGCCCGTGTATTGGTTTCAAGGTACTGCCCCTCTGCGCTCCTCTGCCAGGGTCTCCAACTAGGCCCTCTGAAGCTCCTGACGCCTAGGTTGGACACTGAGATCCGAGAGCGAGGGCGAGACTACTATTGCACACCATCCCGAAGCATCCCGGACACGGAATCCAGGCCAGATTTTTAATTTTTACAGCCCGGCCCCTTCCTCAAAATCATTTAAAAAAAGGTCCAAACCCCCCTTCTATCATGCCGCTGCATTACTTGTAAGCGGCACTCAAGAACTTGCTAACTTATACGATACATTATCATAGCATCGCATATCCATTGGAGTAATGACTAGGGGAGCAATTCTTATGGGATACTTAAACTTTCTAGACATTAAATATTAAGGGGACAGAGTCAATAGTTTGGATAAAGTCCTCGAGCCTTTAAAACTTGGTGCGCATTTTGCAACAAATATAAGCTTTGAGACGGGAAATGAACATATATCATCTCTCAACCCTATTAACATTAATATTAATTTTATAAATATTGATATAAATTTAATAAATATTAATATTAATTTTATGGATATTAATATGCTTGTTAAAGTAGATTTTAGCTATGGTATATAAGGAGTAACTAATATGGGAGCTTTTACTTAAATAGATATAAATTAAGTGGAAAGTGTATATGTAGGTAATACCAGCTTATAAATTTTATAAACTAGAATTAATAGCTTAAGTTTACTATTGCAGGCCAAATAAATATATGAGAAAAGGCTTTTAAGGTATTTGAAGGGTGGTGAAAGTGTTGGGTTTATAGCGATAATAGCTGTTTTATTATTAAGAATTGTATTTTGAGATAGATGGTATTGGTTATATGTAGAAATAAAAGCTAAGAGAGTGACTTTTCTTAGTAGAAGGCTTATTGGGGATAGTTTAATTGATAAATTTGCCGTGAATTGTGAAAGAATATTTTTAAATTAGGTAAAATTACTTAATAGTGCTATATTATTAGATGATATT